ATCTTAAAACTGAATTTGCTGTGTTCCAGAGTTTTTGGATCATTGTGTTTTCATTGTCATTTGTCTCTAGGTTTTTTTTTATTTCCTCTGATTTCTTCAGTGGCCCATTAGTTGTTTAGTGACATGTTGTTTAGCCTCCATGTGTGTGTTTTTTGTCCTTTTTTTTTTTCTTTTAGTTGATTTCTAATCATTAGTGTTGTGGTCTGAGAAGATGCTTCATATGATGTCAGTTTTCTTAAATTTACCAAGATTTGCTTTGTGGCCCAGCATATGATCTATCCTGGAGAATATTCCCTGTGCACTTAAGAATAATGTGTATTCTGCTGCTTTTGGATGGGATGTCCTATAATTATCCATTAGTCCATCTGATCTAATTCATCATTTAAAGCCTGTTTTTCCATAATGATTTTCTATCTGTATGATCTGTCCACTGATGTAAAAAGCCCCCCACTATTATCATGTTACTGTCAATTTCTCCTTTTATGGCTTGCCTTATATATTGAGGTGCTCCTATGCTAGTTGCATAGATATTTATGATTGTTTTATCTTCTTAGATTGATCCCTTGATCATTATGTAGTGTCCTTTTTCTCTCACAATAGTCTTTATTTTAAAGTCTGTTTTGTCTGATATGAGTCTTGCTACTCCAGCTTCTGGAGCTTGTTCTTGTCCCTCTGTTGGGTATGGCTTTGTTAGGGGGTGTGTTTAGAGTTGGCTGTGCATTCAGGACAGACTTTAGGCAGCCTGTCTGTTGATGAGTGGTGCCATGTTCCCACCCTGTTGGTTGTTTGGCTTGAGGGGTCTCAGCACCATAGACTGCAGGCTGTTGGATGGGGTCAGGTCTGGGTGCCAAAATGGTGACCTACACGAGAGTTCACACTGATGTATGATCCCTGGGGCCTCTGCCACCAGTGTCTTTGCTCCCACGGTGAACCACAGTCAACCCGTGCCTCCCCAAAAGACCCTTTAACATCTGCAGGCATGTCTGGCGCAGGCTCCGGGGGAATCACTGCTTTGCCCTGTTCTAGTGCACATTAACTCTTGTGTGCACCGTCCAAGAGTGGAGTCTGTTTCCCCAGACCTGTGCAGCTCCTGCACTCAGGCCCTGCCCTCAAAGCCAGATCCTCTGGGGAGTGCTCCCAGTGCCAGACCCCAGGCTGAGGAGCTTGATGGGAGGCTCAGAACCCACTCCTGTAGGAGAACCTCTGAAGTATAATGATCCTTCAGTTTGTGGGTCGTCGAATGTCAGTATGGGATTTATTGTATTGTGAAAGCACCCCTTTTACCATCTCACTGTGGCTTCTTGTTTGTCTTTGAATGTAGAATATCTTTTATTTTGTAGGTTCCAGTCTTTTTTGTCGATGGTTATTCAGCAGTTAGTTGTGATTTTGGTGTTTGTATGAGAGGTTGTGAGTGCAATTCCTTCTACTCTGCCATCTTGTCTCCTCCTGCGATGAATCTTTAATCTTTAATTTGTTTCCTTTTACATACTTCCCTCTGCCGTCTTAAAATACAGAATATAGTTTAAAACTTTTTATATTCTTGTCTACTAATTATATCATCTGTATTATATCTGGGTTGATTTTTATTGATTTTTCTCCTCATTAGGGATGGGTCATCATTTCCTACTTTGATGCATGCCTGCTAATTTTAAATTGGATGCCAAACACCGTGATTTTTATGTTGATGAGTGCTGGGTATATTATTTCCATAGATATTCTTGAGCTTTGTTCTCTGACAATGTGAATTTACTTGTAAACATTTTGAGCCTCTTGAGGCTTGCTTTTTAGTATTTTAAGATTGACCCAAAATAACCTTTGTTTTATTTTTATTTTTTTATTTACTTTTGGCTGTGCTGGTACTTTGTTGCTGCTCCGGCTTTTCTCTAGTTGTGGCAAGCAGGGTCTACTCTTCATTGCAGTTTGTGGGCTTCTTATTCTTGTTGCGGAGCATGGACTCTGGGACACGTGGTCTCAATAGTTGTGGTTCCCAGGCTCTAGAACACAAGCTCAGTAGTTGTGGCACACAGCCTTAGCTGCTCTGCAGCATGTGGGATCTTCCTGGACTAGGGATTGAACCTGTGTCTCCTGCATTGGCAGGTGGGTTCTTTACCACTGAGCCACCAAGGAAGCCCCCCAGAATAACCTTTAGATTAGGCATAATTTGGTTCCACTACTGAGACAATACTCTTCTGTCTGATGCCTATGTATTATGGTTTTATTTTCACTCTGGCTGGTGGGAACTGAAGTGAGCTCAGGGATTCTTTCCTTGGTTCTTTCCCTTGCCCAAGTAGTTTCTTCACATGTATATGCTGATGAGTACTCAACTGAATACACAGGGAGGACCATTACATATCTCTGGAGTGTGATATTTGCACATTTTTCTTCTCTTCAGTATTCTGCTCTGTAAATTGTAGCTGAATTGACCCACTTGAATTTCTAACCTCTTTTCAGCTTGGGGAGATTGCTGAACTCTAGCGGGGTTCTTCTGCTTACATTGTAGCCTGGAAGGTAGCTTACATTGTTTGTTTCTATTTCCACAGGGATCACTGTCCTGTGTTATCTGTTACTTAATATTTTTAAACTATTGTTTCATATATTTCATCTCTTCTTTTTAGTTGTTTAAGGTGGAGAAGGTAAATCCAGTCTGCTATTTCATTTTGGCTCATAGTAGAAGTTTTTTGGCGTTAACAATAAATAATAACATAAACAAATATATCAGGTGGCTAAAGTGCTGTGGAGAAACCTGAAGTGAGAAAGGGAGGTGAAGAGGATTGCAATTTTAAATTGAATGGTGAGAAGAGAGTTTGAGAAATTGGCTCTTTTGATTATATTTTGTGTGCCCACACACTTAATGACTTTTGCTCATGGATGTGCAATTTGGGCAGACCTGGACAGGGGCAGCTTGTTCTGCTCTGCTTGGCATCAGTTGGGGCATCTGAAAGTCTGGGGGCTGGATCATCTGAATGCTTCCTCACATGTGTGGTGCTTGATGCGAGTTGCCAGATGGCGTCTCGGTTGGGTGTGGTTAGAACATCTGCACATGACCTTCTCATGGCTGCCTGGCTCCTACACAGTATAGTGGCCAAATTCCAAGGATGAGCATCTGAGGGAAAGCCAGGAAGAAGCTTTATTGCCTTTTCTAACCCAGTCTTGAAAGTAATGTTATGTATCATAGAAAGTCACACAGGCTAGCCCATATTGAGAGGAACTAGAATTAGACTCCTAATCTTGCTGGGAGGCATGTCAAAGAATTTGTGGACACCTGTTTAAACCACCACACATCACTTCTTGGCCTTTTGGCTAAGATCAAGTGTAAAGCCACCACAATAACAACCTGTGAAAAGAAGGTAAGGATGTCTAAAGGAAGAGCATCACATGTACAGTGTACAGAAATGCAGAGATTCTGGGGCTAGTGGCTACCTGATGCCTTAGGTTTGTTTACTGCTGGATTCCCGTGTGCAGAGTCAGCTCCTTGGAGGCAAGGGCTTGTATTCACTGCTATTTTCTCAGCACCTAGAATGGTGTTTGACAGGTAGTTGTAGTTTAATTCTTATTTGTGGAAGAAATACTCAGCCTATTGGTGCCAGGTATCAAAAAATCATAAAAATGAATATGTAATCTTTGATATACTAATTTTTTCTTTAGGAAATAATCTTCAGGGAAAACTGTACAAATAAGCATAGCTGTAGTGGAAATTTGAAAGTGTCTAAATGTCCATTAACAGAATAGTTAAATAAATTTTGATTGGACTGTATAATGGAACACTGCAGTTTTCAAACTCAGTGTTTCGGCCCAGAAAGATGAGTGAGTGTTGACGGGAAAGGAGCAGAATTTAAATGATGGTGTTCAGAATGATTCTTTTGATTAATAATTTTTAATATGCACAGAATGGAGAGAATCTAATAGGATGTATATCATATTGTTAATAAGTGCTATAGGAGTTATTTTAGACTTGCTTGTCAAAAAATATGTACTACCATTATAGTAGAAACACATTTCTATTGTAAAAGAAAGTGATGTAAAATTTTTTAATTGATGTAGAATAGTATCTAAGCTACTGTGAATGCCCGACTCTTTGCCATCCCATGGACTGCAGCCTACCAGGCTCCTCTATCCATGGGATTTTCCAGGCAAGGATACTGGAGTGGTTTGCCATTTCTTTCTCCAGGGGGATCTTCCCAACCCAGGGATTGAACCCGGGTCTCCTGTACTGCAGGCAGACTCTTTACCAACTGAGCTACCAGGGAAGCCCATGAATGATAAAAAGCACCTTTTAAAACAATATGTTGGTTTCCTTTTATTAATTAAAGATGGTGGAGAAAAAATTTATACAGAAAAAGTATGGAATGTTAAACCAAGATTTTTCAAGAGATTGTCTTGATTATAGGTTATCCTATAGATAACTGGTATAGACTTCCTTCCACTTAAAAGTTCTGAATGTAATATACAGTGTGATGATTGTAGCTAACAATACTGTATTGTATAGTGGAAAATTGTTAAGATAATAGGACTTAAAAGTTCTCATCACATGGACAAAAAAATTGTAACTATTTTGAGATGATAGGTGTTAACTAAACTTATTGTAGTAATTAATCATTTTGGAATATATACATTTATTAAATCATTATGTTGTATACCTTAAAACTATTATAGTTATATGTTAATTATATCTCAATAAAACTAGGAAAATATGTGACTTAGAACATTTGATTTATATATAGTTCTGAAGCTACCACTCTGTTAAAATGTGGTTGTTTTCCATGTTAATATTATATTTATCACCATAACATAGGCTTTCAGTAACTTTCAAGAGTAATTGAGGCTTAAGATTAAAATTACAGATATAATTTATGCATAAAATCTTAGATGGTGTAATAATACTTTAATTCACACATATTTTGTTGTAAAAATGCCTTTAGGTTAATTGTTCTCATTTCACTGTCTTATCTCTTTATTTGAAAGAAATGATTTGTAATTTATTTTGTTCTTATATATCATAGGATGTGTTTTGGAGATGCAGGCAAAATATCTTTGATGAAATGAAGAAGAAATTTTTACAGGTAGACTGCTGATGTAATTGCTTTAGTGTGATAATCAGCAGAGCAAGTAACAGCATGTTAGTATTTTTGTTTAATAACAAGGCATGTCTTAAGTTTTATGGTTGGTTGCCTATTTTATTTCTCCCTGATTTCAATAATAAGTCACCTTAAATGAATATGTGTCTTATAGCACCTTGTCTTTAACAAATAAATGAGGTGGGAAAATGATGTAAAAACTATAGAACCCTTTGTTTTGACTTTTGGGTATAGTAGTTGTCTATTTTATACAGATATATATTTTCTGAAATATTAATAGCACTGAGATTAAGTCATTTAATAATTGATAGAGTCAAGACCCAGAAATCTTAACTTGAAAAATTAAATAGAAATTAAAAACAACCTGTATACACTGGAAACTTAAACATTTCTCTGATGTAGCATCCCATTCTAACCTTTACTTAATACATCATTTCACTCAGACCCCTTTATCTCTAGGCTCAAGGTTCTTTATTTAATTCTGTTCTCTCCAGGTGATCTGTGGCAAGAGACCACTTAGAAAATACATTAGAGTTTGGTGGGGAGTTGGAATAAAATGGAGGGAGGATCTTAAAAATAATCTTTTTCTCGTGTAAGTTAAGACTCCCAGCACTACCCCAGGAATTGTTACTTGTTAGAAATGGACAATCTGAATGCAGCTGATAAATTTAATAAGTTTCAGTCAGCAAAAATATTTACACCGTCAGTTGTTTTTTCCAGTTTGTGGCAGTGTATTAACCATGAACTGTGGATACCCAGAAGGGTAATTTTCTAAGGCCTCATTTCTTAGTTCATAGCAGTTTCTTTATCAAGAAGTAGATAAAATGGCCTCTGTGTGTGTGTGTGTGTGTGTGTGTGTGTGTGTGTGTGTGTGTGTGTGAGGGGATGTATTTTTAAGTTTATAACCATAATATTATCATTTATAATAACATTGGAAAGAAGAAAGTCTTGAGAGAAAATGGGTTGACAGATTTAGAGGTGAAGAGGTCCTTTCTTAAGGTTTTAAAATTCTTCATAAATTAGTTTTTTTCTTAGAAAAATCTTAATCTTGATAACTTTGAATTTTGTTTGATATTAACTTTTCTGCGTGTGAACACCGTTTTAAATATATGCATTAACTATGCACCTTGTTTTGTGTTTTTTAGTAAGAAATACCTAGGAATTTTTTTTTTATGAAACAAAAGTTATATTAACTTTTGAGATATTAACTTCAGAGAACCCAGATTTGAACTTGGAACTGTTCAGAATGCCAAGAATAGGAGATAAGATGACTTGAGAGGCACGCATCCCTTTAGCAGACTCAGACTTCTCAGGCAGAAGGACCATCTGTGTCAGCCGCTTTCAGATGTTCTGACAGTGAGCTTATCTTTGGACGGACCATATATTTGCAGTGTTTCTATCCCAGTATATTTTACATTTTGTAAATAAGACTTATCATTTTTGTTTGTTTTTTTTCAAGGATTCTTTTTTTCAGGCTTTGCTAGGAAATCTGTTTCTACAGAGAGCATAAAGACAGATCACTCTCTTAGCTTACAGTGTTAATAAAACTACTATTGACTGTCCCCTTTTTCTCACAAATATATTACTGTGAGTTGCCCATATACTTTGTACCTTTTTTTGTAATTGACTAGATTTTCTTTATAGAGAATTTTATGCCTCTCTAATAGCTCACTAAATATAGATGAAATATTTTCTCAAGTGGGACATACTTTAGGCTTTTCTAAAACTTTGCATTTTTTTTTCTTAACTATTGTCTCTTATTCATTATAGAACTTTCACTAACTTGAAAATTGTGCTCCTTTCCCTAAATTAAGACGTGTGTTCAGATGCTTTGCCTTAATGTTGGGTGTAGTATTTAAGTGGACACCCTCCCACTACCAGCCACCGTCACTAATGCTATCACATATTTTTCCCAACCAGCGCTTGCATGTGCTTGAATGTATTTCTGTTATCTATTACTATGGAACAGTCTACCCCAGAACTTTATGGCTTAAAACAGCTAGTTTATTTGTTCACAATTCTTTGGGATGGGATTTGGGCAAAGGCTTAACCAGTCAGTTTTCTGCTCTACATAGCATTATCTGGGATCATTACTTGGCTGCATTTGGCTGGTGACTAGCTTTGGATGGAATGTCCAAGAAGGCTTTTCTTACTTAGCAGGCACCCCAGTGCTCCACTAAGTGGCCATTTTCTGTGTGGTGGTCCTGGGGTAAATGAATTTTTTTTGTTTGGCTGACTTATAAGAGGAACATTCTAAGAGATCCAGAAGCAGACGTTTCCTGCTGTAAATCACACAGAATCACTTCTGTCACATTCTGTTGGTCCTACTTGGTCACAAGGCCAGCCCAGATTCATTGGAAGAGGAAAAAGAAAAAGAATAGCAAAGAATTTGTAGCCATCTTTAATTCACCTCAAGATGGTGGTGTTTTTTGCTTTGGGCATAAGCAGGATCAGTCAGGGGTAGAGCTCCAAAGAAATTAAGAAAAGAAGAGGACATCCCTATTTTCCTAATTCTAGGAAATACTTTTTTACATGTTAAGTATTTTGGAAATTTGTATGTTTAGTATAATACTGTAGAGTTTTTTTTTTTTAATCCCTCTTGGAAAGCTAAGATTGGTATACCTTATTGATGAAACCTTAAAATTGGGAAAAAGTATTTTTTTTCTTATTAGTTCCTAAATTGGGAGGAAAGAGGAGGAAAGAGATTTTGCTTCAGTGTAATTAGTGTTGACATTCATGGTCACAAAAATTCACATGTAATCCATGGATGATAGCCATATAGTAGATTAAGTTCAGACTGAAAAATGGGCCAGGAGGTTGAGTATAAAGTAATAGAATTTGCTTGTGGCTATCTTAGAACTTTAAAGAAATCCAAAGCTTGTTTAAAATATCATAGAATTAAATTTAAGAGCAATATGTGATTGACCCAGAAATTCTTACAGCTTAAGGAAACAGAAAAATGTACAAAATTTTATATAGGTATTCATCACAAAATTATTCTAGAGTGTAAAAAAAGTCTAGCTTAAGAGTCAGTAAAATAAAATTGATGGAACAAATTATTATTAATCCATGTAATAAAATACTATTCAATTATTAAAATGATGAGTTAGAAAAAACTTGACAAGAAAAGATTACTTTATATGTATATAAGTAAAGAAAGACATTTCGAAACAGCATATATATTCCATCTGAACATTGGAGTTTTAAAAGCATGCATGTATATATCTGTTTGTGTATGTGTAGGAAAAATATTTGGAAGAATATAGACCAAAATGTTCACAGTTACCTGTGTTATGAATTACAGTTAATTTCCACTTTTTCCTTTATACTCTTCCTATTTTTTTTAAAGGAACAAAAATTCTTAACATGCAGTACACAGAAAAAAAGTTGTTGTTATTAAAAAGAATAAAAGGCATACATAAAATTAGCTTTTGTGTTTACTACAGTACATTTAGCCTTCAGATGAGATTCCACTGGGGCTAATTTTACCAACGTCTGGATGTGGGATTGGAGGCTGGAGTGCCTGTACCTTGTACTCACTTATTTAGGGAAAGAACCAGGAATTGCTGATGGCCATATGATGATGTCATATCACCATTCTTAGGTATACTGCTATGCCAGTGCTTCTGATTCCTAAATTCTTAGGTAGGGTTCTCTTCCTTGAACCCTCAACTCAGACTTATCTGAAGCTTTAAAATCTGGCCACGATAGTGCTTTTCACCTGGAATACTTGAGTCTACCTCTGAAACTGTAAAAGCAGATCTTTTGTAGTTGAAATTTATTTTGAGTTTCTCCTTCCTTTATTGTAAACCAGAGTTTAAAAAGGGCCCATTTTATATTTATCAGTTTGACATTAATGTGTAAAACCATCTTTTGCAAGTGTTAATATAACATCCTAAGTTTTCAACTGAAGACTTTTTTATTACCCTGTTTATTTAATTAAAAATGTATTTTTCTTTGTTTTTAAATGGGTATTATTGGTAGTTAAATATCTTGATTTGTGTGAATATAATTCTAGCCAATCTTAAACAATATACTTCTTTTATGGCAACTTATTTCTGTTCTAAACTATCTGGATTAACCTTAGTTTAAGTAATCTTTTACAAATCCCAAATTGTATTGATAGATGGCAGAAACTAATTACCATTATATTACCTCACCAAGCAAAAACTGGCTGTTCTGTCTACAGTACTCATCAGTGATAATAAGTATTCTTATTTAAAATGGATAATATAGAAGCAGCAGAAGACGGAGGTTGATATTATTGTGGTTGGTTTTTTTTTTTTTTAGAAGGAAAGAAAATACATTGTATACAGTACTGGTTCCTACAGTTCATATTTGTGCAAAAGCCTTTTGTGGGGATGGTGAGAGGAAATGACTGCCTTACTAGATTTTGAGGGAAAGGAAGAAATTTACATAATCAGATTTGCATATTAAAATGCTGTTCTGCATTGAAGGAAGATAAGAGTGAGAGAAACTATTGCCACTAATTGTAACTATTGATACTATCTTAATGTAAGATTCTGATTACTGCAGGCAGGAATAAAGGGGAAAGGAATAATAGTTCAAGAGATATTCAGATGGTAGAAATGATAGAATTTGGTAATTATGCGAGGTGAAGAAGAGGGAAGAAATGAAGAATATGCTTACCCGTCTGGTTTCAGCAGTCTGTAGATGATGGTACCATTCACTGAGTTGGGCATTACAGGAGGAGGGAAAGAACTTATTTCACTACAGTGTCTGATGTAGCCAACTATCCCTGTGGAAGATAGGAAAAAAGTGTCCTTTAACAGCTTGAGGGAGTGCATAGCTTCCTTGAGAAAATCTTTTTCAAAATTTTTCTGCTCAGATTTGCAGGCTAGATGAAAAAGAATGAAAACAATTTGTGGTCCTAACTCCTTGTACATTGGTAATAGAAAAGTATTTTTTCCTGGCTCACCTTTACCCCTCTGCTGGCTAGTCTGCTTGTTAGCTCCTAACATGCTGATAAATGGGGTTTTTGGACATTGGGTCTTCGGGTATGACAAGGACAACATAAAGACCAGTATGCCTGATTGCTTATTTCCTTTAGTTATGGATTTTGCGGTCTGAGATAATCCTTATTGCATTTCTATACAGTTCCCTTTCTGTTTCATCAGGAAACCCAGAAATGCTAGATATAACTGTGCTAGCATAGTAGTGACACATTTTTAAGGATCAGATTTTGTTGTTTTCAACTGAAAATTGCTCAAGTAAACTGTCTTCATGGGCTTGTTGGTCATTGATTTGCAGCCTTAAAAGATGAAACCAAATATCCATAAGAACAATGGCTGATTCTTATGTATGCCCCAGTTTTCCCAAAACAAACATACATGGTGCTTTATATGTTTGACATATCCAGTGGAGTGTGTTTCAGACATAAAACAGTATTATTCACACAAAGAAAATAGTATTTTGTGTTGTTTTGCATTTAATAGTAGAAAACAATAATTATATTTTTTATTTAAAGAGAAGTAATATATTTTTTAAAATTTCAGATAGAAAATGCTGCTGAAGAACCAAGAGTCTTATGTATAATACAAGATACTACTAATTCAAAGACGGTGAATGAACGGATCACTTTAAATTTACCAGCTTCTACTCCACTCAGAAAGCTCTTTGAAGATGTGGCCAACAAAGTAGGCTACATAAATGGAACCTTTGATTTGGTGTGGGGAAATGGAATCAATACTGCTGATATGGTAAAACTCTAAACTGAAAGCATCTTTTCTTGAGCTGCTAATAATATTATAGTTGCTGTTATTATTAATGAGTATATTAAATCCTGGAACCCTTCTTGATATCATAAGCAAAACTCTAGAGTGTATGTGCAACTCATCCCTTTACCTTCATTTGGAATTCAGCATTTGATTATCTTAAAGTCTGCACAATGTTATTTCATTAGTTTTTTTATTTATGTAAGTTGATTATCACAAGCTTGTGTCATCTATGGAAAAATTTCCAACATTTACTGAATGGGATAATCCTCATTGTAAATATTTAAGTGAGAAAAGCAGGATATAAAATCATATGTAATAATCTAACTTTTTGAAAAGGAGAAAAAAATGTAATATATAGAAGGAAAAAGGAATAGAAGGACTTGGATCTGCAATATTAACAGAGATTATGTACCACATAGAGTGATGAAACACCTGGTCAGGAAAGTTGGTGGCACCATGACTTCTGCTTCAGAGATCTCACAGTAAAGTTGTAGAGACAAGTACATAAAAAACAATTGCGTTAACGTGTTTTAAGTATTATTAAGTGTTATTTATGAGTTTGCTCTAAGTGCAAAGAGGAGGCACTGATCAGTTTTGCATGGGACAGTAGCAAGAAGACTGTTGAGTTGGATCTCATCTGTATTTTAGGATAATGTTCCTTATAGTCTTTTTTTTGCCCCCTGACTCTCAGTCCAAATTCACCCTGTGTACGATTGTTAGAATTATCTTCAGTCATCTTAAATCATAGTACTCCTGTCATCTTCCAGTTTAGAAATCTTTAATGACGGCTCACTGCCCACAGATTAAAAATCATATTCCCTAGGTTAGCATTCAAGACAATTGGTCCTTTAAGTCTAATCTTAACTCGCAGATAGGACTAATTTATTTTCTTAACATAGAATTTTATACTTCTCCATCTCCATGTTTTTGCTTATGTTAATCTCTTCCTGTCCTATATCATGTTGCTCTTCAGTTTCCCAGGAAAATAGCTTTAATGGCAAATGAAGTTGAATGTGTATCTTCATCCTATTTGGAGGGTATGGTCTTAATTGGCTCTATAGAAGAATAAGAGGTTGGATATTGCTGGATTTGCCTTTAAAATTGATGATATTTTGCCTTCTATTTCATAATGTATTTGTTTTTTTTTTTTTAATATAGAACTAGTGTTTTTAAATGGTAAAAGAATCTGAAAAAAATAATAGCCATATATGCATAACTGAATCACTTTGCTGCATGCCTGAAACTTAACACATTGTATATCAGTTATACTCCAATGTAAAATAAAATTGTTTTTCAATATGTACTTACAAAAAACCCCTAGTGTTTTAAATTAGCCAACTTTTCCCCTATGAAACTGGTCAGTAAAATTGGTAGTCCCCAACAGGTTAAACGATGAGAAATGATATTTAATCTGAAACTTCGAATACTCTGTTATACATTACTATGTAACTTCTAGTGTTGCCTCTTTTTCAACTTAAAGGAGTCCTATACTACCATATATGTTTGCCTAAGTCCAGTTTATCTTTTACTTTGAGGAAACTTGATGTTTCCTCATGCCACTTTAAAAATAATCTTTGTCCTCTTATTGTGCTTTTTCTTCTACTATGCCACTCATATAGTCTTTTTATTATAATTGTTATTCATTTATGTCTCTCCACTTGATAGAATGTATTTTGATGACTGGGACCTTAGTATTAGTTTGTATCCTCCAAAGATACTATCCCTAGGCACTCAAAAAGTGTTTGTTAAATTAACATTTGCAGTAGTTTCAAATAGCACTGTGCCAGGATTAACTATTTTTCTTTCATCAACTGTGACTGTTTTTAAGTACTTAATTTTTGTGTTTTAATTTGCCTACTGGGCATTTCTACAAGTAAACTCTTACCTTACTGTACAATGCTGCATGTATGCTTCTCTACAAACCTAATTCATTTATCTACTCACCCTTTTATACACACAGACACTTATTTATTAAGGAAAACCCTCTCTCCCCATGTGTTCTAGCTATATCATCTCATCTTTTATGCCTGAGAGATGCTGAGCGTTCTGGTTCCTGTCAGAATTAAGGGAACCAAAGATACCTTTCTTTCTTTCTTTTCTTTTTCTTTTCCTTTTCTTTTCTTTTCTTTCTTGCTTGTGACTTCTCTTAGCTTCTGGTTCTCTGTATTCTATTTTTCTCATGAATTTCTACATGTGAGCCAAAGTTAACTGAGTTTTGATAAATTTATTTTATTACTTAACACTTACTTTGTGCTTACTATGTACCTAGTTTTGTTCTGAAACTAGACTTTATACAAATGTAACCTTATTTAATTCTTTTAACCACCCTATGAGGTAAGTGCTATCACAGCTTTGTATGAAGGGTGAGGAAACTGAGTCATGGGGAAGTGAAGTAACTTGTACCAAGTCACACAAATAGCAAAGTGGCAGAATCTCTTAGAATTAATTTTTTGGTCCTTAATACCTATACTTTTGTATAATGTTAATTTTCTAAGAAATAAAGGCATCTCCATGAAATAAAGCCTTCTAAAGAGATAATCCTCATGTCTTTGAAACATTAAAAACATCTCTCCATCCGGTGGAGAGGGAGGTGGGAGGGGGGACCAGGATGGGGAATACATGTAAATCCATGGCTAATTCATTTCACTGTATGACAAAAACCACTGCAATGATGTAAAGTAATTAGCCTCCAACTAATAAAAATAAATGAAAAAAAAAAAAAACAACAACAACAAAAAAAAATCTCTTAATGAACAAAATAGTTTTTTAAAAATTGGTGGATAATTGCTTTACAATTTTTGTTGTATTCTGCCCTACAACAATGTGAGCCAGTCATAATTATATTAATGTATATATCCTTTCCCTCCTGAGTTGCCCTCTTCTCCCCACCCCACCCCTCTAGGTCATCAGAGAGTAACAGGCTGGGCTCCTTGTGTTATTTAGCAACTCCCCACTGTCTATCTATTAACATTTAACACATGATAGGTATACATACCAATGCTACTTTCTCAATTTGTCCCACCCTCACCTTCCCCCATTGTGTCCACAAGTCCGATCTCTACCAGGTTCACAAAATAGTTTTAAAACAAGGGTAGGGCATTCATTCTATCCTTCATTTTTCTCAGTGGTAGACTGGAATGTTGGATTAGTAGGGCTTGGGGCATAACAGAGTTCTAACTCTGATCTACTAACTAGAGTGTATCAGAATGACAGCTAGCATTTAAATTGCCCTACCAGATAAAAGATGTAAAGAATAAACATGTTAGATGTTTATTTTTCAAAGACTGATCACTTCTATCTCCCTGGGATCCTCTGAATCCTAGCAGTAGACTTGAAGTAGGTATCATTTATTAGGACAGGCTTTTCCTTCATTTCTAAGAGTGCCTTTTTTAAATATTATGTGATTATATAAGGTGGGTTGCTTGTGCATAGTGGTTCCTTATATGGGAATTCTTACTATATTCTTATATCAAAACATGTTTTAGTTATATAAAATATTCTTTAGTTTTCATGAAAACCCATTGACTACTATATTGCATACATTTTAGAGAACATCAAAACACAAATGCTTATAATTCTTTTTTGTGTGTGGTACTTCAGTCTTTTTAGATGTTGGGAAATGTGAACAGGTGGGATACCAGTTAGTATATACCCTGTCACTGGGCTTAGCCATCCCAGTTCATGAATAGATGAGTTAATTCAAACCTAGATTGACAGAATTTATCAGAATCTTCATTTTTTAAAAATACTGCTTAAGCCCAATAATTGTAGATACGCATCTATTTACATATTACTTATTTTATTATCATTAATGTTTCTCATTGTCTGAGTTGTTTTTTATTTTTTTTAATACTTGTAGGCTCCACTGGATCATACCAGTGATAAGTCTCTTCTTGATGCTAATTTTGAGCCAGGAAAGAAGAACTTTCTGCATTTGACAGATAAAGATGGTGAACAGCCTCAGATACTGCTGGTAAACTACTTAGAAAGCCCTGTATTCATAATTTTTGTGCACTGTCACCTACTATTTGTGAAGCAGTTTTCCAAAGGAGAGAGGAGAGATGTGTTTTACATAACTTATGTATAATAAATAATTTTTCTGTTTTCTATTGGTTTGTTGTAAATATGTATGTTAACATGGTTGCACTGGGTATCCATAGCACCTTTGTTTGTGTACAGTCTCTTGCCACACTGAGAATCACCACTACAAGGATGGGGATGGGTCTAGGATCTCTTACTGCATTTCAGTGGCCTTTTCTTTGGTTAAGCATTTGCTTGTCTGCTGTAAATTTTGGCAGTTTTGCCAGGTTTTCTGGTATTTTGGTGGAGAAACAGACCCCCAGAATTAGCTACTCTGTTGTTTGTGACCCCAGTCCCACCCCTCCCCTCCTTTTTAGAATGGCTAGTTTGTAAAGTTATATGATTTATTTCTGTTCTCTTAGTGTTTGCTGCAATTCATATTTCAATAGGATTTCCTGTCTAGTTCAGTGGCTTTAGTGATCATTGAATCTAGTTAACTCCTAATTTGAGAGGCATTCACTGAAAAAACCTGGTCTGATTTAACTTCCTGCTTTACAGACTTAGTAAACTAAGACTCACAGAGTTTATGGACTTTTTTAGAACCCTTCTCTTTAATGAAACTTTCCTCAGGAAAAGTTCTTCTGTTTCATGCTTTTCATTTAGGATTCAGTTGTGAGTTAGAGTACCTTTCTGGATAGTAGACAGTAATTAAACATAGGGCATCGATTTCAAAGCAATACCAGAAAATGTTCTGACCTACCTTAATCTCAGTGTTGATCTTTATGACATCATGAGAAGATTTAGATTAGTCTGAGTAATGTTGAAACTAAACTAGCTATTAATTTGGGGGGTTCTTGTTTTAAAATTCTTAGTAATTACTCTTCAACTCTGTCTTAGTTGCTTGTGCTGATTTTATATCCTTTATTCCCTTTGCACATTTTCCTCATTGATAGGAAGTTTGTTATTGGAGATAATAGGAACCTTTCCATTTCATTCAGTACTTATTGAGTATTCCCTACCTTCCAGGCCTACTTAGCAAGGATAATAGAAAAATAAATGATAAACACTGTCATCAAGGAGTTCATAACTGTACTTTGGATTGACTAGTAAGATACCTCTCTCATTTAAGCAAAATTGAAAAAGAATTAAAGAAACTTGAGAAAGTAAAAGCTTTGGAAGGAGACATAAGCATTTCTCTAAAGTGTTTTATATTGGGCATGTTTCAGACCTTCCTGTAGGAAATAGTCAGGGAATATCTTGATGGTGCTAGTAATGCCTTGTCTTTTTTTCATTGCCTCAGGAATTAGTATGCTTTTTTTCATTGTTTTAGCAGTATTTACCACTCAGTAAATATTTGTTATGCTATATTTTAGGAGGATTCCAGTGCTGGGGATGACAGTGTTCATGACAAATTTATTGGTCCACTTCCAAGAGAAGGTTCTGTGGGCTCTACCAGTGATTACGTCAGCCAGAGCTACTCCTATTCATCTATTTTGAATAAATCAGAAACTGGTAAGATTTATGATTGTTGTATTTTCCTAAAATCATAGGGCATTAAACCTAGAATAATCTTAGCGCTCTAAACCTAATCTTCTCATTTTATGGATTAGAAAACTCAGACCCAAAACAAGATCACTAGTGAGCAGAAGCAACGTTAGAACAAGAATGGGTTCCCTTTCCCTCATCTAATTGCTACCTTTCTTGTTACTGCTACCGTTTAGTAAAAAAAAAAAAAAATGGATTTTGAAAGAAGTCATTTCTTTTTGATAATTTTTTATCTTGAATTTAATCTTAAGTTTTTGAAGTTTACTTTCTCTGGAAAGGAATGTGTAATATCTGTCTGTGTGGATTACAGTAGATTTACGGAGATAACTTTCATGTGGAAACAAATGGGTCAGGCTTATTTTATTAGAACTACTGTGTTATGTTCTGCTTTAATCTAATCATATGTTTGACATTAATCATGTAATTTAAAAATTCCTGCTAGCTTGTCTCTGAATATGTTATGTTTAAAACTAACAAATTTTTGAATTTTTTTCAATTTTTTGAGCTAGTAGAGTTGCTTTATTTATGCAATTTTTTATTTATATATGACTGGTTAATTGCCTGAAAATGTAATCTGAATCACTTTACATATCATTTTGCTTTTGATTGTACAGCTAGTTAATGTTATTTCATGCTAGGTATGGCTTCAGAGTGTTTACTCTTAGAACTTCAAAACAGAGATGATTGTAAATATAACACATAATGTCTAGTATAAGGGCTTCCCTGGTGGCTCAGCTGGTAAAGAATCCGCCTGCAATGCAGAAGACCTAGGTTCGATCCCTGGGTTGGGAAGGGAATGACTACCCACTCCAGTATTCTGGCCTGAAGGATTCCAAGGACTGTATAGTCCATGGGGTCGCAAAGAGTCGGACACGACTGAGTGACTTTCACTTTCACTTTCATCTAGTATAAAAAGAGAACTATATAATTACATTGTAGGTTTTGTTTTAATATGTTCTGTAGTCTCCCACTTACTATATTTTGTTTGAAATATAGAATAATTTCCTCACAGCTAAGCATTTGTACAGGTTTAATGGCATATTTGTTCTGGAAATAGTAAAAACTGGTTGGGTTTGGTATTTATGGTCAATTTATATAAGTAGAACTTTTAGCAGCAAACTACCAAGAATAAAAGAGAATGCAAAATTATCTTTTGTTTCAAAAGCAAATAAGAAAGCTGCTTCTCATTACACTGTCAACAGTAGTGATTCTCAAAATTTTATTTCTTTAAAACTCATTTTGGGATACTTGTTAAAAATGTAGGTTCTGAGGCATTATTCCCAAAATACTGATTTAGTTACTCTTGAGTAGACTGGATAAATTGCATTTTGTTTTAAATAAATACCCTTAGATTTTTATAAGATAGTTGAAATACTTTGAGAAGGTTCCAGATTTAACAAGTCAGGATTCTTGAAATTTTTGCTATGTATTCTGACAACCATTTCAGTCCTTACGCAAGAAGTATTTACAGAACTCCTACTTTGTACTGAATAATGTATAGCTCTCTGATGCCTGTAAATTCCTGGAGACTATACTTAAAAAAAAAATGTTCTCTGATTGTATGAATATAATAAATGTTCATTGTCATATTGTAAATGAAAGTGGAAATTTCTGACAGTACAATTAACAGAAACTACTTTAATGATTTTGCATATTTTTGTCTTCTCTTTCCTTCATCTGAATGCTTTCAAGAAAATGAGGAAATTGTTATGAGAAGAGTTTTAATCTATGTTTTTCATGTAATGTATGAGGGGCATTTTTCAGTATTATTAAGTAGTATTTTAGTATGGATTTTAAATGGTTAAAAAGTAGTGTTTCATTATATGATTTAGATATTTAAACTATAATTATTCCTGATGTTATAATGAACATTATTGTAAGTTTTTATTTTCATCTGTGATTATTTCCTTAGGGTAAGTTTCTAGAAATTGAATTACTCAGTTGAAATTTACTAAAAATATTTTTATAGGACTTTGATATACATTGCCATGTAATCATAGTCTTCATTTCCAACTATTGTTCCTCACACAGTTGTATTCCACTCTTTTCCCTACTTGTACATTGTCCTTCAGTGTTCTGGAGTACTACCTTTCTGAATTAAAACAGTCTATATACATCCAAACGAATTGGTGTTCAAAAACTGTTTGTTAGTGACTATTGAATCGGCATTTTGCTTAAGAATTTATTGAAATGCACAAAATATTTTCATTGAAAAATGCTTTCATGATTTCCACTCAAAACTGCAGGAACACTTCTCTCCATATTCAGTGAGGTTGGGGACTTATTCTTTTCTGTCTCCTTGCCTAATTCCTTCTGGTGGCCAATTACTGTTAATGGGAGATGGTTGGAAGTGGGGGGCACTTAAAAAATTAAGGAGTGGATTGAAGGTGGATTGGACTTGCAGGTGATTAAAAGCCACATGACTGAAGTGTTCTATCATTTAAATCTGAGATATCTTTCCTTGGCCAGTTTCTTTAACAATTCTTTCTTTATATTTGCTTTGAGTTGCCCAGTTTCATTCTGCTTCATTCAGCCTCGTAGAGTTCTCCTTCGTTTCTTACTGGTTCTCTTCAGGATTTCTTTCTGTGTTTGCTTTGTGTTATTTTTTTATACAGAATGGCATATGTTCTTATGTTTTCTTCCCTTATTGACTTATGATATTGACTCATGACTATTTCAGATAGAGGGCCCACTTGATAATAGTTCCCATTTGAAATTTTTTGATTTAGACAATTTATAATGACAGAAGATTCCTATTAGTTCTGTAGCATTGTTATCTTTTTAATCTCACTAAAACCTTCATACTTTTGGAAAATAATAGTACTTTTATTTGACACACTGGTCGTTCTGTTAAATATGGTGCTAAATGAAGTACAAAAGACTATATATTTCTATTTGATTGTTATTGCTAGTGGTAAAATAAAGAGCAGTGGAAAAATTGTTATTACTCCCTCCTTCCCTTAAACCCCTCCCCCTGCCACTCTTTTTTAAGCCCAGGGAAGGGGAACAAGTTCACAAATAAATGGTGTATGATTGATCTTAGGGTACACAAAAGACAGTAGTACCTTGATAATACCTTGCCTTTTAAGGCTACCGGTAGAATGGTTGTCCCTGACTATTGAGGAATTGGGGAAGGAGGTGGAAAAGAAGAAATCCCAGGCAGCTGATCAGGTGCCGAACAACTGTGTCTCCTTGCTCAAGGTGCTGTTGTTTGTGGGAAAGAATCCATTATCAGTTCAAGTAGCTTATAGATTTATGTTGCTTGTAAGTCATATTCACTTCTCCCTCATGGGTACCTGCTGCTGTGCTAAGTAGTAGGATAGAGAGATAAATTAGATTTGACCCCTCCCCTCACTGTTGGGGACCTATACAAATAAATAAACAATTATAGAACAGTGAATTAAAAGCTCTAAAAAGGATTAAGGACAGTATGCTGTAAGAACAACTCAGGTGGTGCGTGTTGATTAGGAATTGAAGCAGTTTATAATGATATAACAATGTAGAGTAAATATATAGACATGTGTTCACAATATTCTTAAAGATGAAGGCATTAGAAATCAAAGCTTGAACCTTAGTCCAGAGTAAAAGATAGGCAACTACTTGGTCCCTTCTTAGAATTGTACAAGTGCAGGTAGTGTGGAATCTGTTCCTCTTTTCCACAACTGAACCAAAGTTCATTCTGCATTTGTTGATCTTTTTCATCACCTTAGTTAGCAATATCGTTTGTCTACAAGGTTTGCCACTATCTTACTAACAAAAGATATTTTTGTTAATTCTTGGAAAATTGAAAAATGTATTTCAGAGAGCTTCAGTGAATGCCTTTGGCATGTATTGAGAAAAGATTTAAGTTTTTTTGAGATAACCAAGTTTTTCAGTATAAAGTGGGAGTAAATAAATTTAATTATTAAGCAATGTGGTTACCGTATTTTACTCACATAATGAGGTATAATAAAATGATGAGGCTGATAAGTTTGTGTGTGTGTGTATGCGTACCTCATAAACTGAGCCTGAAGCCTACTTCAAAGGAGAAGTTCCAAAAATATTCTCAACAGTGGTAACCATTTCTAATTAGGTATATAAAGTTAAGTACTTAAATAGTTCATTTGAATTTTGAACGCATCTAAGTTACTCCTTTCCTTTTCCCTTTCTCTCAAATCTCCTCTTCTTCCATCTCTGAGTTCTCTTCTTACTTTAATCGTCACTCTCTGCATGGCGTGCTGATCTATGGGTTTCATACTTCATGGGTGTGTACAACAGAGGAAGTCCTCTGAGTTTGTATACAGTGAATTTATCTTATGTTATTGATTATTGGTAGAAATTGGTTTATTGGGCCTGGTGAACTGGTTCAGTACTGTCTTCATATTTTGGGTGTATATGATGTTTAAAGTGAATATGTATATACTTTTTCCATTTTAATGCACAGCTTTTAGATTTGGGGAACAAAGATTATTTTTGTCACAAAATACTATATTAAATGTAACTCTTAAAATTTTATTAAATGCTATGTAATATCTATGTGTATCTCTAGACATATAACAGCATGTCCAGAGATTCTGACTTTTTCTGAGAGATAAGGTTTACATAGTGCATATATTGACCAAAGATGTCTTTCTTAGGTATTATTGAAAAAAATTGAAATAATTTCCAATTATAACCTTAATCTCTTAATTTTTACTGTGTATTAAATTCTTGTTAAGTTTTCTTTTTGTTAATTTTTTTACATAAATGCTGATTTATCTTTGTGTATTTCTTTTTTTAAGGATATGTCGGATTAGTAAACCAAGCAATGACTTGCTATTTGAATAGCCTTTTGCAAACACTTTTTATGACTCCTGAATTTAGGAATGCATTATATAAGTGAGTATTCAAAAAAATTCTAATTGATTTAAGAATGAAATACAACTTTTAATTAATTAAATATATTTACCTTCTTTCACTTATTTGTTAAGTTTGGGGCATTTCTCACTTCTTAAAACATACCTTGAATAGTAAATAAGAAAATGATTTTTATATTATCTAGGGTGAAACAGATCACCAGCCCAGGTTGGATGCATGAGACAAGTGCTCAGGGCTGGTGGACTGGGAAGACCCAGAGGGATCGGGTGGAGAGGGAGGTGGAAGGGGTGATCGGGATGGGGAATACATGTAAATCCATGGCTGATTCATGTCAATGTATGGCAAAAACCACTACAATATTGTAATTAGCCTCCAACTAATAAAAATAAATGGAAAAAAAAGAAAATGATTTTATGAGAGGCAGGCATATGAAAAATTTGGGGGGAGAGAGAATCAGAAATGTATAGACAGCAACAGGATAAAATTGATAAGATTTGTGTTTAAGATAAATTATTATATTTAAGCTTCCCTTGCTTTTAGCTTTCATGCCTTTATGAAGAAGTATGTTACCTACTTTTGGAGATAATCTGAATTTGTAACCCATATTCTTTTTTTCCTCCACATCTCAATTTAAGAAACAAAATTGCCTTTTTAAACTTGCACATTTTGTTTTTAATTAAAATAAAATGCAACTGTTCTGTGTTTTATGTGTGTGTGTATATAAGACTGTATATACATTTGTATATATCCATATTTAAATAAACCCTAAAGTCAGACATTTGTTTTTATGAGTATCCTATTATAATACATTTAATACACTTTGTATATTTCTTTACAGTATCCATAACTTTTATTTTTTGACATTTTAAAGTACAGATAAACTGATTTTTTTCCTCCTTTTTGTGTTAACACTTTCGTAATTACTGTAAATATTTACAGTCATAAAGTACTAAATAAATACAGTATCTAAAGTACTTTTGGAACTTTTGATATTACAAACAACATTATATTACCATTAAATGCACATGTAAGCTCACCATCTGAATTTACTTGAAAAAGTTGACATGTTTTTCATTCAGCAAGTATTTGTTACCCAGTGTTTATATGTGGGTACTTGATAGATAAAGTTAGAAATAAGGTCTTTGTTCTTAAGTAATTCACAGGTCTCTTCACAGTAGCAATATGTGTATTTTTTAAAGTAGTTGAAATAACATTTAAGGATGGCTTAATGCCATGAGAGTTTAGAGAGAAGAGAGATTAATGAAACTTGGAGAAGTGGCTAATTTAGCAGAGCAAGTAGAACTTGAGGTAGTCATGAAGATAGGTATGGTTTGGCCAGGTAGAGAAGATTAAGAGGACGTTATAGACAGGAGGACTTTCAAGAGCAAAATGAGTAAGTTCATCATGTAGAACTAAAGAAGGGATGGCTCCATTAAAAGGCTGGACTTTGCTGGACTACAGACAGGGTAGCACTAGCATGAAAGATAGGGTTCCGTTTGTTTATTCTCTTCACGTGTTATATAGCAGCCAGAAAGAACCTACCACTTTACGTATGTAGGCATGAATTGGGAAAAATTTCCAACATACTAAAATAAAAATAGTGAAATGGTATAATGAATTCCTCTGTACCCATCACCCAACTTTGGATATTATCAACTCATGATCAGTCTTTTTTGTCTATAATCCCCCATTCTGATTATTTGGAAGCACATACCTAATTATATCATCTGTAAATTATATCTTAAGTCACTGCTAAAATTTCCCTGATTGCTTCATAATTTCTTTTTTAAACAGTTCAAATCAGGATCCAGATAAGATCTGTGCATTGAAATTGACAAAACTTTTAACCTACTTAGTCTATTTTTGATCCCCTTTGATCTTTTTCCAGGTTGCAATTTATTCCTTGGAAATATATATGTATGTCAAAAACTGATGGCATTTGTCCTGTAATTTTCCACAGTTTGGATTTTGATGGTCAAATGCCAGTGTCATTTAATATTTTGTTACCTCTATTTTCTGTGAGTTAATAATTGGGACAAGAATCTTAACCAGGTTCGGGTTCAGTGATTACTCTTAGATAGCCTTTGCCTTTTATTCATGTTGCCTAAATTGCTTTCTAAATGTATGAATTAGAATACTTCATTAGATATTAATTGCTTCAGTTAATACCCAAGCTCCATAAAATCCCCAGAGTTAAAAATTAACATTTGTTATGGTTTTAATGTTAATTATTCTCTAAAGAATAAAAATATGAATAATTTTCAAACATTTCATTCCAATAGGTGGGAGTTTGAAGAATCTGAAGAAGATCCAGTGACAAGTATCCCATACCAACTTCAGAGGCTTTTTGTTTTGTTACAAACCAGCAAAAAGAGAGCAATTGAAACCACAGATGTTACAAGGAGCTTTGGATGGGATAGTAGTGAGGGTACTAATTCTCTTATAATGATAAGTATTTGCAGTAGTCAAAGGAATTCTGAGAGACTGTATTATAAATAACACATTAACATCTTTACTTTAAACCTTTTCATTGCTTTTTGGTTGGTGCTTAAAAATAGCTTATTTTTAAAATTTAAGCTCCGAGGCATAAGTTTTTGATCCATTAAAGTTTAAAGTTATCTTATTTTAAAGTTTGGTTATACTCTTTTTATGTACTTAAACTACAGTTTTTTAAATGTGTTAGCTTAGATTTTTATTAACGTATTTCTTGACTCTACAGTGAACAATAATAAAAATGGCAAATATTGCAGCACCATGAAGCATATGCTACTTATAGAATGTTGAGCTCTCTTGGTTCTTTTTCATATGATTGCCTTTTTATGACTCTAATATGTATTTTGTGTTCTTTTTAAATCTAGCATTATTTTATGTAGACTCCTGTATTTCTGACAATTTGCTTTTAAACAACAAACTAATATTTCATTACACTTAAGTTAATAGCTCTTTTTAATTAAATTTTATCTTAAAATAGCCTGGCAGCAGCATGATGTACAAGAACTGTGCAGAGTCATGTTTGATGCTTTGGAACAGAAATGGAAACAAACAGAACAGGTAATTTATCTCTCAAGTTGAGGGGAGTATTTTCTAATAAATTATTAATTCCTTAAAGTGACTTTATTTTATTGGAATGTTTTAAAACTTGGGCATTAGTCCAGTTGTTAAAGTACTGAGAGTTTCCTCATCTTTAAGGAAGTTGGGCCCTGTGATCTAGATGGTCTCTTTTTAGCTGAAAACTGTAATTCGTCAGGGGTGGGGGGTGGGGGGTGATTCTTGAACAGCATTTTCAGATAGATGCTAAGTAAATTAGATGTCTTCTCTGTAACACATAAGGCACACATTGTGAAGTGTACTCATCTAGCGTTACGTTCGTTTTGACCAGTGAGCCGTAGTTATGCTTTTCACACGCAGTGAAAGTGAGAGCTGCTCGGTCATGTCCGACTCTTTGCAACCCCAAAGACTACGTACAGTCCATGGAATTCTCCAGACCAGAATACTGGAGTAGGTACCCATTCCCTTCTCCAGGGGATCTTTCCAACCCAGGGATCAAAACCAGGTTTCCCGCATTGCAGGCGGATTCTTGACCAGTTGATCCACCAGGGAAGCCCTTTCACACTTAGGATCCTTGTTAATCTGACCCTATTCTTGTCCAGTGGAAGGAGGAACAGATTAAAAGTGAGAGAACTTTAGATGTATCACTGGAATGAGGCCTAAGGGTGAACTGGATGAGGCTCAAGACTCATTACAGAGGAGGGTTTATGCTAAGTGTAGTGATAAAAGATCATTAGAGATAAAAAGGAAGAATCTGGAAGATAGCCAGGAGGATGTACTATCTGATCAGAACTATTCTGATGGCTTGGACTAGAGTTTTTCAAACTAGATTGCAATCCATTCATTTATGAAATTAATTTAGTGAATCTACACAACACTTTTTTTTTTCAAAAAGGAATAAAATAGAAAAATAGAAGCATCATATAGTAAGGGTAAGTATTGTTTTATGCCACTTTTGTTACAGTTATATGTACTAGGTTGCAGTGTAAATTATTTTCTTACTGTGGGTTGCTAGCAAAACTCTGAAAAATGCTGAATTGAAACACTTAGAAATGTCCTTTCAGAGAAGACTCAGATATAGCTGGAGCAGGTTAATGAAGAAGGCTTCATTAAACAAATAGTATTAATGTAGACAGTTATGGTGGATCCTAGTTTGAAGGCTTATAAATCCTCAATACTTGAAGAGGTATACATTTATGAAAGAGGCAAACTATGATTTCCCTCTTAACCTATTCTTACTTAAGAAATACTGAAAAAAATTTACATTCATTTAGTTATCTAGATTCTCTACATAATCTTTAGGATTGTATTTTTGTAACCTTATGCAGATACCCTTTATCCTCATTAACATCCCTTTGTGGGTCAACAATTTTAAGACTGGATGGGGCATTCCTTCTGAGTTCCCAGGTTTTGGTACAGGAATCTTGAGGCAAGACATTCACATGAAGGGTCCTTAACCTAGGAGTTACCTGTCTCCTTTGGGTCAGAGTAGCCCCCAGTTGACTTAAGTTTGGGGAGTAGGTGAGAGATTCATTCTTCTTAGGTGAGGCTATCTTGAGGGAGATGGAGTTTAAGGTTTATTTTTTAATTTCTGTTTGTTTAAAGTACAGTATATTTTTCCTTCAAATTATTTTATGTGCATTACTGAAAAAAGTTTTATTTGTATCTTGAGATCAAGGATATGATTTCAGAAATCAGAGTATATTATTGTGAAAATAGTGATATGTATATGTAAAGCTATAGAGCCAGTTATTTAGCTGTGTGATTATCAATATGCCTGAAATGATGGATTGTGAAGTATTCCCATCCTAATTAAATATAATATAGGGCTTAGTTGTAGTAAAATTAGTTGATAACTGATTTCAAGAAAACATTTTAACAGTGGGATTTTTAGTGATATGAGAATTGAAATAGTTCATTTTTGCACATTCTTAATTTATTTTGTCTTTGTTAAGATTTGATTTTTTTTTTTCTATAGAATTTTAGATTAGGTAAATCTTAAAGCTTTCTAAAACTTCAACAGTAAGAATCAGTATCCTTTTGAAACTCATTCTGAAAGGCATAAAGCGTTAGCTAATTTTAAAGGAGCCCTTTAAAAATTTGAATGTTCTTGTTCTTAGGCTGACCTTATAAATGAACTGTACCAGGGCAAGCTGAAGGACTACGTGAGGTGCCTGGAATGTGGCTATGAGGGCTGGAGAATCGACACGTACCTTGACATCCCATTGGTCATCCGGCCTTACGGGTCCAGCCAGGCGTTTGCTAGTGTGGTGTGTACCTTTCCGCTGACTGCTTGTGTATCCATACACAGAATGCATAATAGCACAGTGATATAACATATCCTAAGGTAAGTATCATCCTAGATACACCTTCTTGGGGTGTTAGTCATTCCTGCATTTAAACTAGCAAGATCTAGAAGATTTTTGACCCTTCAGTGAGTCCTAATAGTGCATGTTTAAGAGAAGAAGCATATGCAGATGTACTGCCTCAGGGCTCAGTCTTTTACTCTTTTGTAGAAGTGACTAGATTATTTCACTTGTCTTTGTTTAAACCTCTGTAAACAGTCTGTTTTGTAAATGCTACTTTTTAACATTTATTTTTGGGGGGCCTTGCCAGGCGGCTTGTGTGGCCTTAGTTCTACCAATCAGGGGTTGAGCCTGGGCCCTTGGCAGTGAGAATGCAGACTCCTAACCGCTGGACTGCCGGGGGATCTCCTATAAATACTGCTCTTGTTACTTTTTTTTTTGGAAAGTACTTTTTTGTTTTGAGAGCACTGTTTTGTTCCATATACTTTTGTGAGAAGAATAACCTCTAGTTACTAAGACAAACACAGACTGTATTTTTTGAAAAAGCAATCCTGTTCTAAAACATAATTTTAAAATGACCCAGGCATTTTATAAGCACAGATAATTTGAAGAATCAGAATTATATATAATTAGCTTATTTATATATCATCAAATTGGGTGAATAAGGTTTTCTCATTTCTCCTTTTGTTTGTTTTTAACTGCTTTTTTGTAATTTTATTATTGTATTTTAGCCTTACATTTATGTATTTAATTGCTTATACAAAAGGAGAGTCATGGAAGGACTTAAATTGACATTTAAAATTAGAATTTAGAAACATTAATTCAAATCTATCATGAGTCAGGGGAAACTTTCACAGCTAAGTTATCTGAAAAAGTCAAATTTCATCATGATGATCTTACGCTGCAGTCAGGCTGGTGGTGGCTTGTAGGTAAAATCAGTGCTCTTAAAACTAGTTCATACTTTAGCCTCTAAAATAGCATTTCAACTGTGATTAAGTAGTCTCTAGGACAATTGATACCCTTTGCTTTTTTCTCCTATTTTTATATCACTGTCAGGCAATAACAGCAAGAAGTTATGGGATCAGTCAGTGGGAATCCAAAGTAAAAGGCTGTTCCGAGATAGGGGAAGATTTGGCCTCCTTTGCTCCATTATTTTTTTTTAAGTGCGTGTTTTTCTTTTTATTGAAGTATAGTTACTACACAATATGTAAGTTATTAAGTTATAGGTGTACAATATAGTGATTCAGCTTCCTGAACAGATTTGAAAAATTCTGTTAAGTACTTAATAATACCCTTGTAAACTGCCATTCTAGGTATATGAGGTTGGCCTTGGCTTGAGTGGCTAGTTTTATTTTTCATTTTTGTTTTGTTTTTACTTTATTTTGTCAGTTTAAGGTAGAAGAGACATACTGAAAAATTGTTAAGATTTATCTTTCAGTGATTTATCTCCTAACTCATTTTAAAACTTTGGCATTTCTTTAAGGAAATGTACTAGGAAAGTGTTCAGTAGTCCCAAGTGATGTACACTGTTTTTTCTACTTTATTTATGAAAATATTTTTTATGTAAGATTTTTCATGCATATGTTTTGTTTTTTTCTTACATATTTATTGAATTTTGAGGAAGTTAGTTTTATTTGTGTTATATTGGAATCTAATATTTGAGTATTCAGCAAATATAATACTTGAGTATTCAGCTATAAAAAAAATTGCTAAATCTTTTTCATTATTTGCCTGCTAATTGTTACCACTCTCCTCAGTACGTTACAGACAGAGCAGTGAAGTGAATTGGAGGATATTTTTGGAGAAGTGAAAAAAGTCACATTTCTGAATGGAATTCTCCAGTTCTATCTTACATTGATAGATGGATGATGGTGGTGGTGATTATTCAGTGGGAATTGAAAATTACAGCTATGAAGCAGGATGTAACAGGTTTATACACACATGCGCTAATAGGGCTTGCAGAAGGGAACCTAAAACTTCCTAGATTTTGCTGGAGTCTCTTGAGGGAAATTACAGCAGGTGAGACTACCCAAGATAGGGGTTCTAAGGAGGATACTACCTTCAGAGAACTTTAGTTAGAGGTAAGTGATTTCCCTTTATTTTCTGAATTCAAACTTAAAACCTACACTTCTTAAACTGCAGAAATCACCATATAACATCTAAATTTAGTGTTATATCACTGCTTGCCATTGTGTATTTTGTTAGTGCTATGTGTTTTAAAAAGAATTTGGTATAAATGTGGATTATAAATAGTTAAAAGAAGCATTATAAAATCTTGTTCAGACTATTATAATATTTGGCCTTAATTTAAGTTGAACTCTTTTAAAATTTGTTTTCTTACTCTTACTAATGGTCTTGGTATATTTGCCTTGTTGGCTATTTATACATACATACACAAACATATTTGACTACATGCACACATATATACACACATATACTTACCTTCATACACAGCATTGATGGTTATGTGTTTTGCATATTACATATTCTGTTTACTGAGCCACAATACTATAGTTATGCGTATTCACTGTGGTTAACACTTGGTATTTAATTTCAGATCAGTAAGTATGAAATTCTGTTAAAATTAAGAGGTTTTTTGTTTGTTTGTTTCTTAACTTCATCTGCAACACCCAGTTTCTGAATTGTTTTATCTCCGTGTTTAAATAAATTAACTTGAGAGTAATATTTAAAATTAAATAAGAATGGAGTTGCCAGTTAGTTAATTTAGCATTATAACATCTATAAATAACTTTGGTTATTTTTCAGCATGATTGATAGCAGACTAATTTTTAAATAAGTGCTAAAAATTACCTATATAGTTTTTTAAAACAGCTTTTCATCCTAATGTTTTCTTTATTGAATTATTTCTTAGTTGTTATAACTGTAATATTTATTATGTTTCTAGTCTCCACTTTATCTGTCCAAGTAGTGTAAACGATTCTGCTATTCTGTCTCTCAAATTGAGTTTTGTTCAGCACTAGTCTCCAATAGGTTTAATAGGTGTTTGGAAGAAGGCTTCTGATTAAATAAAATTGGGAAACTGTCTAACTGTAATTCTCTTTGGGAAGTTTACAGTGCACATTTAATTTTAAATGCCCTCCGTGTTCCTGTAATAGAGAAATTAACCAAACTTTTCTCTGTGGGACATCTGTTAGTATTTCAAAGGATACTAGGATTCTGAGGAACATATTCACAAAATATTCTAGGATATTTTGTGAAGCTCTGCATCAGATTAAGCTGATTTAAGGAAATCTCTACTTTGTTACATTAACATTTATGTCCTTGTAATATTGAAGGGAGTGACAATACGAAAATAATATGTTTCCCATTTCCTGTTATTTTACATGTCTTGTTATTAATCCTGAAAAAATAATATCAGCCAAAAGATTACTTGTATTAATACTTTGAAAAACTTGATTCTCACTGATTTGTTAGGTAATTAGAACTGTCTACATAAAATCAGTCTCTTCAAACTTTATAATCAAAGAAACCTTGAATCTGCTTATTGCCAAGCATATTTGAGAGTGTATTATTTTAAGAAGATCTAAATGGTATAACCTCATATGCTTGACATTAACTAGAGGAGAGTGTTATACTTAATAGTGAGTTTTAAACACTGTCTTCTTATAGGTAGTTTTATTGAGTTGCTTATTCAGTGGTAGGTGCTATTCTAGGCCATTTTTATTAGTATAGTTTTATCCTCTTTTGGGGTAAGTATATTTAAATATTCATTTATTATGTAAAAATGTGTTCAAAAGTCTAAAACTGGATTTGGCTGTATGGTTCCTTGTAGTGTCTTGGGAAAGATCAGATTAGGAGAAAGACCTTTGTTCCCTAAGTAAACACAATTTAATGATCATTTTAAAGTTTTGAATAGAAAATTGTTAAATTCATAAGCATTTGTGAAATCATAACTGTTCCAGATATTTAGTTTATATACGTTTATATCATAAGTGCTACCCTGATTTAACAGGTAATTTGGACATTCTTATATGGCTGGGTTGGTCACATAACTCATTTGGTTGGTAGAGTAGTCCAGATTTATCCAAATGTGTAAGCATCACATAAAGAAAACTCTCTTCCATGGACTCTACCCTCATTTTTCCAGGAATTTGTGTGGTTGAACATAGTGAGAACCAGTTTAAAAAGTGGGGACTTTTGCTTTCAGGATGATGGAGTAGATGTACATTGCCCTATTCCTCCCGCTTAAACAACTGAAAATCTTGAACATTATATATAAAATAAGCATAAGAAGACTCTGAAAGGTGGAGAAAAGGCATAAAGACTAGGGACCTCAGGACTCAAGGAATGACATGGGGTGAGTTCCCTGGGTTTTCTTTTTGCCTAATGTATCCCAAATTTGGAGCTGAAGATGCTGGCAGGCTGGAAATAGCAAGTAGCACAAACTAATGTCTGCTGTCTCTGGCCCAAAGACTGGGGAAAGGACAGCCTGGCAAGGCAGAAAACTTAGCCGGTAGCTGCTGTGCTGCAGCCAGACACCGCCAGGAAGACTGTGGCCCTGACCCTACCCAGTGTCAGCCAAGGCTGAGTAGGGAGTCTCGAAGTTGGAACGAGGTGCTCCAACCCCCTGCTGGGGTGATTTCAGAGAAGATTGACTAGGAGCCAGAAGTTCCTTCCCTCCAGGGCAGTACTGAGCCTCCCCACTGCCGTTCACCTTTTACTGTGGTTAATTGTTGTTAGATACCATGTGGGGAGCCTGGCCTTACACTCCCACCTAATAGTAAAAAGGTGTTCCTTTCCCTTCCCACTGGAGTGATGTTAGAGGCGGCCTAGATGAGAGTCTGGACTTTTACCACCTCCCACCTCCCAGGCAGGGAGGCTGTCCCCCTCCTACCTGTGGTGTCGGTGGAGGCCACAGAGGGAGCAGGGACAGATGTTAGAATTATCTGACAAATATTTTAAAGCAACCATCATAGAAATATCAACACATCAGTGCAAGTTCC